CATCGGGATCATCGTTGTTGGCATGGCGTTGGTGAACCCGGCGCGGCGACCGCCCTCGCTGGTAGCCGTCGGCCCCGCGGTGTGACGGGCATCGGATTCCCCTTTCAGCACTAGTCCCCGGATATAAAGGTACGTAATCTGCGTATTCCCCACACTGTACAGCGAAGAAAAGCGTACCTTTTTTACGTCTGCGGTTGATGAATAAGTACTCGAGTTTCGCTGCTATTAGCGTACAAAAATTTAGACTGATATTTGAGCCCCTAGATGGCAGAGAACTTGTGAAAGTGTATATTACCCTTCCTTAAAAGTAGGTGACCGTTACCACAAAAAGTAATCCGTTACTTTCGCAGCGTTACTTTCTACCTTACTTTCCTAGGGTAAGACAAAACACGCGCGTGTTATGGAAGCGTTTCTTGTTGCCACCAGTCACACTTCTGTGAGCTTGAGCAACCGCTAGCTGTCGAAAGTCTCGTCGGAGGTCTTGCTTTGTTTCTCAGTGAATATGTCGTCCGCCGCACTGAATACCCATTCAATTAAGACACTCACGAATGCCTAATGCACTGCACTGCGTGCTTTTTTTAAAAAGACGGCACAGCTCTCTGCCCTCGTGAAAGTGTAGAACTTCGTTGCTTCAGCCGGAGTCCGACACTGTTAGAATCGCAAAGCTATAAAAATTGTAATACAGATAATTAAACCTCGAATAAAATCAGTGCATGTGAATATATGATATAAATAGTTTTTAGCCGGCAAATATCGCCAAAACACTCTGAACACAAGCCGTACCTTAGTTGAGAGCAGGGATGGGCAGTATTTCAAATACAAGTATTTGAAATACGTATTTCAAATACTTTGTGTATTTTGCATTTGTATTTAATTACAGATTGGGTAATGTATTTGACGTGTGTATTTAAATACCAAACTGTGGGTATTTCAAATACCATTGTAATTAAATACAATTTTGTGGGCGAAAATGCATCCCTCAAATTTATTGTCACTAGCCAGAGCAGGAAGAAAACCACGTTCTGCACCGAATGCAGTGTCTGTCAATCAAGCACAAGCGTTTAGTGACTTTGTGATTACGGTGCTAGTCCAGGGCAAGAATAGTGACGAAATCGACGTTCACAGGCAAACTGGCTAAATAAGTGCCCGTGACAACTTGTGATGCTTCCCAGCCTGATTTCCATCCATATTTTTGCCTGGAACATTTTAAATGCTCGGGTCGTCCAGAATGTCGTAACTGGTGTGCGAGTTGCAACAATAAGAATTTCTCTAGCTAGTGCTGCAGGTCTTGGTCGTCTCGGTTCTTTGTTGGTCTATACCAAAATGTAATCGACAAAAAAGCTGCTTGAAGCTCTGTAATCTTTTCACCTATTACGTCCAAACTGATTACATTTTTCTTGTGATTATATTTCTATTCCGTTACTAGAGCCTCGCACACTAACTCCCGAGTGTGCGATGCAAAATTAAAGTGAGATACCCAGAAACCCGTTGCAGGTACCCTGAAGTCGCTAATGCAAATTTTGAGGAATGTATTTGGAAAAGTATTTGGAGGAGACCAAATACATTTGGTTGTATTTGTATCTTGTATGTAAATGCTTTTTTTGGAAATGTAATGAGATTTGTAATTAAATACATTTTTGACGAAGTATTTTGTATTTGTATTTCGATACATATTTGCATGTATTTTGCCCATCCCTGGTTGACAGGTTGGTAAATAAGAGGATAGGATCCCTCAGAGTTCTTTAGCTGAATGTCCTGTGAGGCAACGGTAACGTACCCCCCACATTGACAGCAGTGATTCTAATTTTGTGAAAAACGAGCTACATAAGAATCTTACTTCATACTTCCATGTCTGGAAGGTGTAAACAACCACCTTTACTTCAAAGCCGCGGTACCACCATTACTGAAAGTTGCCAAATATCAGCGACCGCGTATCCTAATATCATTAAAAAAAAGAAAGACGAGAAACGTATTAGGAATATAGCCAACCTGAAGCTTTTTGAAGATTAGGTTAAATGCAGCACATAATCAAAGAAACATTCGTATCTCCCATAGATGATAAGTGTTCTGATGTCTTTTGAGCAGCATGCCAGTTAATGTTACATCCTTTTCACTCAATTTCTGTGTTGAACTTTATTCAGCGGAAAACGGAGGCTCCCCTTCTGTTGTCACATTATGCAAACTATCGTAGTCACTATTGGCGAGGAGATCGAACTATTGGAAGTGCTCTGACTTATTTTTTCTCCCCATACCTCGGTGTTTGCTCAACACAAGGCCTTTGGACATGTCCACAGCCCTTGTGGGCATGTTTACGTCTTGGCGTAAAACTACTAACAATAAACGAAGTGATATCTTTGTTAGTGCCGGATCTCTCCCGAAAGCAGTGGTAAGAGAATGCGAGCTTGACCCACTTCGGCTTTTGTGCTGAGCTGGGCATATATACCGTGCAGGCTGCATTCTTTATGTAGGCCGGAGTGGTAACAAAAGAGTCCCACTCCCTCCAACCTTTCCGGCGACTAGACAACATGAAATCCAGCCGAACGCTGAGGCGGCGTTCGGTTATGTCAGCCGAGCGATAAGTCATGCATTGTTATTTGTATTCCCCATCCGTGTAGTTCAAAATTTAGCCGCTTGTGGTACGGTCTGATCTCCTCCCGAATAGCCGGCCATACAAAGGATGTTCTATAGCCGGTCATAGAACTTTTTTGTGTGGGCTATCATGTTTATATATCTTATTTCTCAGCGCCACCATTGTGCAATGGACAAATAAAGACTTAGCATTATTATTCGAAGTATTATAATTTTAGAGGAGGAAAGCCACAGGTTCCTCTTTCTCTAAAGAGATGAAGATACGTGTGCTGACCAGTGGAGATTTCACACTGGTACGTGAGTTTGCATGCTGTTCCGGATTTTGTTTTTAAGGCGTAGGGAAATGAAGTTTCAGCGCTCATTTTCTAGCTCGAATGTGTTGCATGGTGCACCCTAACCTCAAAAACACCAGTCTTCTGTTGAAAAGCACAAGAAAACTAATTTGAAAGCCAAATAAACGATCTTTCAATGTGCACCTGGTGGATGCATACGGAGCCTATTTTGGAGGTAATCTAGCAACGTTGGGGAACTTGCTGCGTAGTCGTGACGTAGCAGATTCGTTCGGAGCAGCGCCGCTCTTTGGAATTTCCTCATTTTCCTTAGTTTTCCTCCTAGCTCAACTCACAAATCGAGCATTGTACCAAACGGTACAAGAAGACGCAAAGGAAGGACTCCCCTCTTTCTCGGACCCTCGTTCGTGCGACCGGAATGAGCCATTTTCCTTCTAGAAGATTAGCCCGTCGCTCAAAACTCGAACAAAAGTTGCTTTCCCCACCCCGTTCAGCCCTAAGCTGACAGTGTTGTGGAAGCTACGTGCTCCTTGGGCCAGCCACACGCTCGTCACCCCACGCGTACTTCGAACGTCTCGGTCGTAACGCGCTGACGCAATTGACACCACCACAACGCTGACAACGCCACCTAGGGCAAACCTCATAACCTCACCAGCCTTGCTACGTCACGAATGCGGGGAATCTTTTCTTTCTGTTTTTGTTTGCACCGGACATCCCATGACGCATCGCGGTCTCCGTTTGCTTCTCTTCGAGCGCTTGCTCGAGAGGAACGAAAAATACCCCTCTAAGGCATAAGCATTTATTGCTTTGCTGCTCGCAGCCGTCTTTGGTTTGGACGGTCGGGTTTTGGACTCGACTGGACTGGCTTCGTGACGCCACGGCGGTGTTCCCGCCGTGCTCTGACGCTCCCTTCGTTCGCTTGTTACGTCCACTTTCCCTCTTACGTAAGAGCGAAAGAGTGGCCTCGCACGCTTAGAATGACGCACCGCTGTTGACGCGCACTCTTACGATGGTACCGAAGAGTATTCGCGACTCCAGCGAACTATAGGGGCCGCGCTGGTCAGGCAAAATGGCGGACGAAAGAGGTCCTCTTCGTCGTTCAGCACGCGAACCACCATAAATGTCTTCCACTGCAGCGTAAAAACGGTCTGACATATGAAAGCAAAGCAATTTTTCGACGGTAGAAAGCTTGTTCTAGTCAGAGCATAGGAATGACACGACAGAAGCATAAAAATAATTGCTGGGAACGATGTTTGTTTTTATGCTGCCTACGAGAACCAAGCAGCGATAGCACGACAGAGTCCAAACGACTTCCTCTCCTGTGCTTCTCGGCGCTGCCGCTACGCGGCGGCGATTTCGCTGGGGTCGCCAATAGGCACATGGTTTCATTTCCCCAGTATGCACAACTTACGCGAAAACGTAAAACCGCGGCGCAACGCTAACGACGTTTGCTCCAAACTGCCAAACCCGGTAGAAAGACTGGCGCTTCGCAGACAACAGTATGGAAGGAGGTAAGAACAAAAGAGGAAGACGGATCTGGAAGAAACTGTGGTGGCTACATCCGAAACCGCCGACCCCCGGAGTAACGTTGGCCGGGAGTACAGACTGGCCCTCCCAAAACAACAGTCTACGGACCGCTGCGGAGTTGGAATTCCCATCGTTCTCTAAGCCGGAACCTCTGCTAAATGCTAACGGTTTTCTTCGAAAATCAGCGTAGCGGCAGCAGCGATTTCGGCATCATTTTTTTTTTTTATTGAATCGAAAGCTTACAACAATAGAGAGTTTTAGTAGACCGCTCCGACGACTCCGATAAGGATACCCGATACTCCGCCACCGCCTTCGCGCGTGCATAGTATCGTTATCGGATATCGTTATCGGGAATATCGGAGGTTTTGGGAACGATGTATTAAAACTCTCTAATAAACACTGGTGCAATGAAAGGTTATGTCTCGTAAATACATATAGTTATCATCTCTATATGTGTTATAGTATTATTCTGCTACTTAATTTTTGTTTTTCAAAAAGCCAAAAAAAAAAGCTTTGATATTTTTTTTTTATACGTCGTCAATTTTTCAGACTCCAAATAAGAGCAAGATTGGAAACCTTTTTGTCGTCTTTATCGAATTTTATTTAAATCAATCTCGGCAAAGCACCTCGCCACCCGCATCAGAACTGTGCTTGCACGGGCATCAAAACCCCGCCGTGAACTGTACGTGGTTTTGATGCATATACAAGTAGTTTCTAGTAATAACCGGGTGATAGATCGGCCCACGATGCCTCACGAAATTTCCTCAAATTCAGACTCCGTAGGTTCCAGCGTGGTCGAGGCTTCAGTCGTCCAACCAGTTATATGCTCCGTGCAGTTATCCTCTGCTTGTATTATTAGCGGTTCTGTAACTTGAACTGCAGCAGAAGACCCCGTTTTACCGTCTTTGCCTTCTTCAGAGTGTGAGTTTCCATTTGACCCCTATATCGAACGTATTTGCACAGTCGTTAGACAGAAATAGTATAAGAATCTCCGCACTAATCACTCCGCAGCCTATACAAACATAGTTTTATTCGATGGGAAAGAAGTCCGACTACAGTGAGAATAACAAGAAGTTCAAGGAACGTATATACTGTTCCGATGTTTTGTTCCGAAATTAAGAAGCTCCTTTATAACACTTGCATTAGTACATACTTAGTTATTTATAAATATTTCTTTATCTGCACCGTATCAAGAAATATTTCTAAAAATAATTAAATACCTTTTTTTTTTAAATAGGGGGACCAAGTACTTTGCTCCTGCCAGTGTAACGGCGCAAGCAGTACAAAGGTCGTTCTGACTCCTGGTGATAATCTTAATAAACAGGCGAGCTTGTTTAAGTTACACCTAGTTAAAATCAGAGACTACGGGTATGAAGGGACAAGGAAAGAGTACGATGTTGTTGTGTCATTTTATTTCTGCCGTCTCCGATTTCAACTCAATGCCCTGACTTCACAGCTTACAATGCTAACTCATCTCTTTCTATAGTTCCTACGCTAATACCCTAGTTCTTACTACATATGTATACCGTCAGAATTGTGTAACTGAGTCAACGTATTGAAAAAGAAGACTTTGACTTTTATGATAGATTACCTTTCTTATTTTTGAAAGGCGCTGCGTCAGAATAAGCAAGATATTTCCGTAACTCCACGTATGTGTCAGTGACATAAAAGTAAACACGAAGAGTGGACAGCATAAATACCTCGAGGTGCTGCATATCTGTCAACAATGACTAAGTACCAATGAGAAGATGTTGCATGAGAACGAGGAAGAACAAGTGGAGTAAGTTGAAAGAGAAATCGGACGAAAATATTTTTGTCGACGCACCAGTATATGAGATATAGCTAATTTTTGTCCCAAGAGGCGCCGTAAAGACGGGGGAGAAGCTAACCAGTGGGGATTACATTTATCGTTTCCTTGTTTAATTTACCCTCGTTCTCTCTTTATTTTTATTTGTTACATGTATTTTATTTTTGCGTGAAAGTGAATACCTACTAGTTGCTTTTGGACACAAAGATACAGTTATTATTTATATCTTTGATTTCCGATGTGTGTCGCCAACTTACCATATAAACTAAGTAGAAGTCTTCAGGCATCACAACACTCTGCGCAGAAAAAAAAAAAGAAATTTGTCAGCCTCTTTAATATATTTATATATATATATATATATATATATATATATATATATATAACACAGAAGTAAATCTCTGACGCAGAAGCACTTATGAAGATAAATTAAAATGTCACCTTAAAACAAGCTTAAATCATTTATTCCCACCAGCCGAGCCGGGAGGACCTCAAGGGATTGACATTACGCCAATCTTTTGAGAAATTCGGGTCCTCCCGGTGAAACTGTTGCAAATAAATGTTTTAATGATGTTTTAAGGTGACATTTCTATCTTCATATATATGTGTATATATATATATATATATGTATATATATTTCTCAGATTGTTTAGCCCGGTATTTCGCAAAATCGAAGTACCTCAAGAGACGAGGAGGAGAAGGTACGGATGAGGACGAGGGGCATACCGTCCCCTCCTCCTCCTCAAAAGCTGCGCTTTGATTGGGCATTATAGGCAGTTGTAAACGTCTTTCCTTTTCTAAGACCAATCTGTTAAGATTAAAAAATACACCCTATATATATAATACTGTGAGCGAGAGAGAGACATAAAAATGTAGTATATAGTCCACCAATGTAATCGCTAGTAATGGTCACACTACGCCTTCAACGATCACCATTTTCTTTTCTTTTCATTGCCTCTTTTTATTGACTATTTGTGGAGTTTGAGGGGACGTGAATGCAAAACACGCACCGAACTCTGGCACCGAATGCGCCGTTCAATATTAACATGTGAAATGGAAGAAGAAGAAAATGACAGTGACATCTCAAAGTATTGAAATCCCGGAGTGCAGCATTTAAGCATATGTCGTTTAAACTTCTTTAGAAAATATTAGATTGTCGTATCGGAGAGGGTGAAGAATCTATTGTTTATTCATATCCCCCCTAAATTTAGCTTGAGGATAGTTTCAGTTTATCCGCTAAATTTAGTGGGTAAACTGCATTGGTGCATCGGATAGACGACGTAAATTTCCCTGCAAATTATGGCGAGGATATTGAATGGTTGTGTGAGTCACCTGACGTCGCTATCCCTGCTAAATTTAGCGGGAAACTGAATTGTTGTTTAAGTCAAGTGATGTTCTTTTCTTCGCTAAACTTACGGTGGAAACTGAATTGGTGTGTAGTTAGTTTGGCGTCGAGTCACGTGAAGTCATGCTATCAATTAGAAAGACGGACGAACATATATCTGCGATTAGAGGGTTCCGCTAAAAAGCATCTTATATGATAAAAAATAAAATTTCGATTGCAGATCGAATGAAAATACTACAAGAAATGTGAATTACGTAGGCCGTTTGATTGTGGTTTAGTCTTTGACTACTGCTTGGATGCAAATAATTAGAACAAAATTATATAAGATCTCTACATATGATTATTATCGTCTAGAGATTAATGCCTGAACTTCCGTTCCCGAGTAATTACCTAATAATAAAAAGCAACTCTATGCTGCTGTTTTCTATGCATATTTTTTTAAACAAGCATCAACTATTCGCGCTAATATATATAAAAACAAATACAGTTAATGGATTCCCGATTTTCAGAATATACCTGGTCTTTTGCTCGCATTTCGAGACGATGAAGGCGCGCATACTTCACTTCGCATTGGAGATTGTACGCTCAGCTGCGTGTTGCAAATTTTGCCACAGAAAAAGGTTCAAAACAAATGCCTTTGCTTTACGAAATAAATTCAAAAACCAAGATAGTTCAGGAGCTCACTATTGGATGTCTACATAAAAGAGAATCGGAAATTCAGAGAACATGACACGTTGAATAAGTAAAATACAGAAATAAATGTAAGTATTTTCTGCCATGTTGGTCTTCTTTCAATCACAGAGGTATTTAAAAGCAGCTAGCACAGTGCATGAAAACAGCCCTTGTGGATCAAGGTGTTAATCCGGACAACCGGTATCTACTTACAAAGTTGCACATCAGCCTTACGAACTCAGGTATGCTTTTATTCATTCGATGCCTAATTCCTTCCCAGGTTTCATTCAGCTGCAAAAGAAAGAACAAAATAATAGATACAAATTTGCATCAAAGTGTATGTGCACCAAGAGGATCGTAAAGTATGGGCTACATTGGATACGCCACTAGGTCTCTAGGCCAGGTGGCACATATATCAAGGCGCAATATTTGCAACGAACTCAGCAGAGAAGAGCGACAATTTTTGTGTTGTGGTTATTCTTTTTTTTTAGAAATGCTGTCCCAATTAGCAGATTCGCAAGACTGCTTGTAGATTTTTTTGCTATTGATTTTAGATGCCTCGACATTTAAGAAAATCATTCAGCTTGTCAGCGAATCAATCCTTAAACAAGTAATATTTTTGGTTGTTCTGTGTGCCTATTTGGCGCCGGTGGCGGTAGCCTGGCGTGAAACCCTATATTACATCTAGTCGATTAGGCATTTATAAGGTGACCTTTTTAGCCGAATATAAATGTACAATAACAAACAACAAATAATTTTAAAGTGCAATTGAAGAAACTATAAAAACTACGGATAGACAATCTGATGAAATAACAAGTATTATCGTTAAAAGAAATGACAGAAACGAAAACAGAAGGCCACAATGTATGCTTGTTGGAAGTGCCGCTTTTAAGGTAAATGCCCCTTTTCTCCCGGACAGTGCCAACGCCTTTGGGCCCTTGGCTCGAGAACGAGCATAGGCCATACATACATAGACGAAAAGTCTTCAATTTCCTTGGAGGGGGAAGGGGAGGTTTCCAGTGTGAGCGTATTTGCCTTTCCGAGGAGTTCCTTTTGGGTGCGGGGGGGGGGGGGGGGGGGGGGTGCTTTGTTTTGTTTATATTGGGAAATTTCCTGAGAGGCTAGGAGGATAATGCCCCCAAGAACACCCCGCCCCCACCCCTAATCGGCGCCCACGCAAACCAAGACCCTGGCTGTTAATGCGCGAGTATTTATTGTTATTGTCTGAGTGGATTGATCGCCTGTTATCGTCCGACCGCACACCAGGGTGCGCGGTCGGACGGCGTTTTTGTACAATAATTGCTGTATTACGTCTCCTACACTCAAATATGTGATGTTTTTGTCAATATATAATGCACAACGCGCCTAAAAAGGGTAATAATAGTAATATCTGGAATCTCCATGCAATTACCTATTTTCATTGGTCCAATTTTCTGGAGACGGTAAGGAGTCAAGGATGTCGTCAAAATGTATTTCACAAGTCTTTTTTTTATTTTAAAATTACAAAGCGTAGCTCCCTTTCTGTAAAAATAGGGCCCAAAACTTGCCAGGGTCAGCGGCGGACGGCGACACAGACCACCGAGTCGAGTTGCGGGGCGCCTTTGGCGCGCGTATTGGTAGATGACGTCGGGAGCAGCGTCGGAAAGTGTAGCCGTCCAGCGAAAGAAAGCAGACGACACGCAGATGAAATCCGTTGGCAGCAAAAGCGCAAAGCGCAGTCGTTATGCAAACGCGTTGAGTTTTGTAGCGTGAGCTACACTGGCCGAGGTTGAGCAGTTTCGCGTGGCTCCCAAAGAGCCGTGCTGCACATGCGCGAGGAGCAGTGACGTCACACGTCGCACAGCTGGCGCGCCGGAGCCGCCGCCGCCGCGCGCGCCTCGCCGGTCTGCGCATTCCAGAGGAGTGATGTCATAACCGCGGCAGACGCACTGGCGATAAGGAGGCAGCGCCATCTATCAATAAGAGCCCCAAACGCGCCCCGGAACTCGACTTGGCCGTCTGCGTCGCCGCCCGCCGTTGACCCTGGCAAATTTCTTGGTCCTACTTTTTACAGAAATGGAGCCACGCTCTCTAATTTTACAAGACAAGACCGACCTTTGAAATATACCAATGACGAAAAGTTTAGATTGCTACGTGCGGGCGCGGATTTTTACGGCCCATTTTAGATCGAGCGTGGTGACTCCAGTCACGATATATAGGGTGGCTAAAGTCGCCAGGCTCGATCTAAAATGGACCGTAAAAATCGACGCCTGCCCGTAGCCCCTCAAACTTTTCGTCAAAGGTGTATTTCATAGGTCGGTTTTTTCTTGTAGAATTACAAAGCGTAGTTCTCTTTCTGTAAAAAATAAGGCCAAGAAACTTGCCTGGGTCAACGGCGGGAGGCGACGCAGACGACCAAGTCAAGGTGCGGGGTGTGTTTGACACTCCTATTGATAGATGGCGCTACCTCCTTGTTTCCGTCAGAGTTCTGGTTTCGGTTTGCTTTCAATGAAATATCGAAAGTGCCCGCGTCGACCGTGGTTTATTGACACCAACATAATCGGTTTTGTAATCTACCTTTGGCATGAAAATAAATGCAGACAATGATAGAAAAACTTCAAGTAACAAAAATAAAAGAAAACGCGGTTGCATAACGACAACGCTGACGGCGCTCTTGCTGCCGGCGGATTTCGTCTGCGTGTCGTCTGCTTTCTTTCGCTGGTCGGTTGCATCCTCGGACGCTGCTTCCAAGACCTTTTCTGTCGTGGTTGGGGAGAAAACAGCCACAATGCGTCACCTGACCGTCGAAGAGAGGGCAAAAGTAGTCCTTTGGTTTACAGAAACCAGGAGTATGAGGCAAGTGAGATCGAAGTTTCGAGCCACTTTTCGCAGGCGTCCGCCCACCCGTCGGACTGTCCTGCGCTGGGTGCACCGATTCAACACGGAAAACACTGTGCAGACCAGGCTGCGAGTACTTGAAGAGAGGTCGCCACAGCAGAACAAACGACACGCCGTGCTTGCGGCATTTGCATTGAACCCACGCCTGTCCGTGCGGCAAGTCGCAAGACAACTTGGCATCAGTAAAAGTTTCGTCTGGATGGTGATCCGCCGACAAATGTATCCGTACAAGCCACAGGTTCTGTTCGAGCTGCAGCCAGATGACTATGAACGGCGAAAGCAGTTCTGCGTGGACGAACTTGGGCGCATCTCCACAAACAGGAACCACCTTCCGTTTCTGCTTTTCACGGACGAAGCTATTTTTCATCTGGATGGGCACGTGAACAAGCAAAACACCCGCTGCTGGTCCGAGACGAACCCCCACTGGATCATTGAAGAGGCTATCCAGTCACCAAAGGTCGTAGTATGGTGTGGACTTTGGAGGGAAGGCGTTGTCGGTCCATTCTTTTTTGAGGGCACGGTCACCGGCGACGCCTACCTTCGCATGCTCGAACAGGACGTCTTGCCGGAGCTGGAAGCTTCGCACATGCAAAGGGAGGTGTGCATCTTCCAGCAAGACGGAGCACCACCGCATTACGCCACCGCAGTGAGAGACTGGCTTGACAGAACCTTTCCCGGCAACTGGATGGGTCGAGGGTCACCGACAATGCTCTGGCCCCCACGGTCCCCTGACCTGACAATTTGTGATTTTTTTGTTTGGGGTTTTGTGAAAGCCCAGGTCTACGCAGTTCGCGTACGCTCGATGACGGAACTAAAAGAGCGGATTATATCCGCCTTCGATGCGATCACGGACAACATGCGGGAGGCAGCCTTCAGGGATTATGAGCGAAGACTGCACAAGTGCCTCCAAGTTCGAGGTGGACATGTGGACTGAAGACAACGAGAACTGAAGATCACATATCTATCCATTTTGCACATATGACCAGCGGCTTTGACAACCGCGAAAACCGCGGGCTCCTACTGACAGGCTCTTTTCAGAGCCATTAATTGCTGTTTATCTGGAGCTTGCTTTGGCAGCCTCCCGTGTCTCAAAAGTGCATGCGGTGTAAATAGCATCCAAAGTGACGCATGGTGGCTGTCTCTCCACCAACCGCGGCAAAACAAAACAAAAAAATGGTCTCGGAAGCAGCGTCCGAGGATGCAATCGACCAGCGAAAGGAAGCAGACGACACGCAGACGAAATCCGCCGGCAGCAAGAGCGCCGTCAGCGTTGTCGTTATGCAACCGCGTTTTCTTTTATTTTTGTTACTTGAAGTTTTTCTATCATTGTCTGCATTTATTTTCACGCCAAAGGTAGATTACAAAACCGATTATGTTGGTGTCAATAAACCACGGTCGACGCGGGCACTTTCGATATTTCATTGAAAGCAAACCGAAACCAGAACTCTGACGGAAACAAGGAGGTAGCGCCATCTATCAATAGGAGTGTCAAACACACCCCGCACCTTGACTTGGTCGTCTGCGTCGCCTCCCGCCGTTGACCCAGGCAAGTTTCTTGGCCTTATTTTTTACAGAAAGAGAACTACGCTTTGTAATTCTACAAGAAAAAACCGACCTATGAAATACACCTTTGACGAAAAGTTTGAGGGGCTACGGGCAGGCGTCGATTTTTACGGTCCATTTTAGATCGAGCCTGGCGACTTTAGCCACCCTATATAATATTTTCTAAACAAAAAAAAACAACAACAAAAAAAAAAGAAAATTGTCACAAGATAGACTTACGATTGGGGGCAAAAGACTGAGCGTGCAGTTGTAAACGGCTTCCGCATGGCTGGAATTCCTATAGTGTGACCCTGATACACACACAGACAAAAAAGATATTGATAAACATTTTAAACGTTGTAGATATGATTATATGCGTTCAAAATTTGCGTGCGTTATCTAATATGCTTAATTATTTAGATTACAAACAATTCACGAGAGAATTAGTTATTTGAGTCATCAATCCGAATGAAAAGCAATGAATAAATAAATGAACATGCTAAGTTCAATTTCGGCCAATTGGGTATAGCTAAATTCTGTACTCTTAAAGCGCGTTTTTGTTCTTAAATCAGGCTCAGTGCAAACATATCTTTTGCTCCCTGCTCAAAATATGTTTCCACTGTCACTGCATCTCACTCCGCGCACCATTAATTTTCTTATCTTAGTGTTTGCGCGAGACAAACTGCTCTTTCTGTACACATCTAAAGAATCTTCGCATCGATCGCTATGGAAAAATTCCGATGCACTGCATTGCTATTAATTTATCCTTTATTTATTTTCAAAAACATAAAAAGGCCTCACAACGTGCGATTTAATTACACTTACCGCACAATCCAGATTCTTTTCCATAATGACGTTCGTAGAAATCTTGTGTAGTAGTTTCCACTCTGGAATCTTGCTCGTGACCGTCTTCGCTGGACGAACACGGGCTTCCTAGAAACGAAATCGCCAAAAGCGCACAGGTGAGCGCAGTCCTCATGGCTGGTAGATCTTTGCTGCGAAACCTCAGGGCTGTAAGTAACAGATGTCACAATCCTTCGACGATATATATACCCACGAGCTTGCAAGCACCAACCACGCGCGCACGTCATAAAATGACGCTAACAATCCCGAGACCAATGATAGGTCTTTTTTTATTGTCATTACTAGCAATGGCATTGCTGATGATTCAGTTCCGCCTATTACCTCCTGTGAACTCCCGCGAAGGTCACTCCTTCAAGATACAACCGGTTTGGAATGCTAAGCGGAAACATTTGCTTTGTGCTGTTCATTAAAGTTTTTTCTGCGTTTGTTCGTTTTCTTTTTCGAGCTGAAATTATGAAATATCATACTTCTCGCCTTTCCACTGCGTCTTTATACTTGCCTTTATTGGAAAAAAGAGACACACTCTTAACGCTGTGGTTGCAAATAAACGTTTGGAGCAAAAACAAGGTGCAATCGGTGAGCAAACGAAAGTTAAACAGCATGTAGGATGTAAACTGAAAAACTGCTTTGAGAAATGTTCACGTCATAATTTCTTAAATGTTCAGTCGTTTTATTGATGAAGTATATATTTATGTGGGTTATTTTTAATTGTAATTTACGGTCGGGGTGTAAAAGTTGACTGTTTTTATATACAAAGAACGCAATAAACGTGCTTGGAGTTCTTAATCCCAGAACTTTGTTCGACGTATACCCTTGGCGAAACCTTGAAAGCTGAATCAATAACCTTGAACACATTAAATCACGCCATGCATTCGTTAAAGGAAACGTACAGTCAGCGGCGTACCAACTTGTTTTTGAGGGGGGGGGGGGGGCAAACCAGACCCCCCCCTTTCAGGGCCTGGAGGGGGGGGGGGTTGCCTTCGGTATCCCTTGGGCGCCGCCTGCCAGTGTTTGCCCTGCCCACCCTATTGGAAAGACCAGTTCAAACTGGAACCAGTTTCAAACTTGGTTATTTGCTCCAGTTCGACCAGTTTCATGATGGTTAAACTGGTCAAGGTGGTTCGAACTGGTCACACTGGTTGACTGGTCATACTGGTTGACTGGTCATGATGGTTGAACTGGTCACACTGGTTGACTTTTCACACTGGTTCGACAAAAATATTTTAATTTGTTCGGGCTACCGCTGCGCTTCGGAAATATTTATTATACACACATGTACACAGGATACGCCTACTACAGCATCAGTCAAATTTGGGGGTTTTGCGTGCCAAATCAACGACGGGCTCTGGCACGCCCCAGCGGAGGACTGAGGATTAATTTGGACCACCTGGGGATCTTTTGACGTGCAACCGAAAGCTCGGTTACAAGGCGCCTTCTCCGTCATATTGCGGGCACCTCGGCCGGGATTCGAACCCGCCACATGGGGATCCGTAGGCCAGCGCTCTCGCCTCGGAGCCACCGAGGCGGCCTACTACGGAAACAGCTGAACATACATTGAGCGCATACATACACGGCACACACAAACATCAAGAGAACGGCACACGAACCCGATCACTACTTCCGAGCTCTGCGTTTCCGTCTTTTATACTGATCGTTTTGAACGCACAGAATTTCTCGGTGACCGCCTAAGCAATAAAAGGTATTCCCAGCATGTTGATTTTTTTCCAGCAATGTCATACCTTTGAGAGTATTTTGAACGGCTCAGAGGATGAATCTCTTAGTAAAAAGTAAACGCCTGATCATGCCGTAATTATTTGAAAGCAAATAAATCAAAGTGAGAAAACCAATAAACAAAGTGAGGAAGGGGGGTCAAACTGGTAACCAGTTAGACCAGGTAGACCAATCTGGTACCTAGTTTGGTCAATCTGGTTACCAGTTGTACCAGTTCGGGCACTCTGGTGACCAATTCGGCGTCGTGTGACCAGTTCGGCCAATTTGCTGACCAGTTTGGCCAATCTGGTGACCAGTTCGGCCAATCTGGTATCCAGTTCGGCCATCTGGTGACCAGTTAGGCCAATATGGTGACCGGTCAGGCCAATTTGGTAACCTGTTAGAACTTAGAAGGCAATCTGGTGACCAGTTAGATCAATATGATTACCACTTAAACCAGTCTGGCTACCAGTTGCACCAGTTTGATTTCCTGTTAGACCAGTCTGACCAGTCCAAATACCAGTCTCACCAGCAAAACACATGCCTTTCCCCCCCCCCCCCCCCCCCCCCCCCGGTTGGTACGCCCATGCGTACGGCTGTGTTTCGAGCTATCCAAAACTAACAAAACACGTTTTCAGAAATATTTGTGCTTTGCTCTCCCAATTTTTTTATTTGTCATCTCTTGGAAAATGGCAAATTTATGTCACGCCAAAACCAGCATTCAAATTTTTCCGCGCCGACAGCGGGGAGACACAACACCTTGAAAATGTGAAGGGGAATGGAGAGCAAAGCACTGTATTCACATTTCGTCTCAGTCATGCAGGTTTTAGTGAACATTTTCACCCTGAGAGCTCGTTGGGTTCGTCTGGAGAGTTCGATTTTTTTCTTTTTCTGTCGGTAACTGAGAAATTGTAATCCATTCTTTGGCTTTTTCTCGTCTAATTAGCAGGGCTTACACGAATGGTCTAAACGATCGAAAACACCGTTTGATCTATTCAATGCGGTGTAGAAAATAAATATCCCTCTTGATTTCTTCGCTAAAGGTCTGCGTTTTAGCGAGCTACACGCGGATTCTTTCCCGAGCCCACAAAGCAAACCGGCGAACGACGTTTTGCTAGGGTGCAGTACAAAAAGTCAAATAAAGAATAACAATTCAAAGATCAGGTACTATCGGGGAAAAATGAAATGCGAACAGAGGAGCGCGTGGCTCGCGGTACAGGCTGCGCCGCCTGGAAGTGAGCCTAGGAGCGAGGGTGCGCGGCCTGCTCCGACGTGTTCACGCCCCTCTCTCTGCGCTCCCCAAGCTTCGGCAGTGCGCCTCTTGGTGCGCTGAAAGCTATCACCGCTATCTTTGCTGGCTCAGCGCGTGCGGTGCAAAGAAACTCGCCGCATTCGCCGAGCAGGCAAAGATAGCGGTGACAGCTTTCAGCGCACTGAGAGGCGCACTGCCGAAGCTGGGGGAGCGCCAATCGAGGGTCGTGAACACATCGAAGTAGGTCACGCACCTTCGGCCCTAGGCTCACTTCCAGGCGGCGCAGCCTGTACCGCGAGCCACGCGCTCCTCTGTTCGCATTTCATTTTTCCCCGATAGTACATCTGAGGAAAACCGTTGAGCATCTGGAAAATGGCAAAATGGCTTGCGGTTGAACTTTTTCTGTATTTTTCCGCAGGATGAACAGGTTAATTTTTGTGTGTGTGTGTGTGTGTGTTTTTTTTTCATTATTCAAAAAAAAATATTAGCTTTCAGTTTTTCTTTTTTTTTTCATATTCGTGAACAAAAACTTGACAAATTGCAAGTGTTTCTTACCTAATTAGCGATTCTCTAGCACTCAAGAAAATATGTAAAAGACCATATGCTAGGTTACCCACCGCCAAGGAGCATCCTGCGAGAGCGCGCAGAACGTGCAGCACACGCTGCCTTCCGGTGTGCTTTGGTGGCGCGTGTACGCTGAAGGCTCATAAGACGCACAACTCTCAACGTTGCTAGAAAGCTCGCGCTTCAGGCGTCACGCCTGCAGCGCGAACTTTCTAGCTGAAACTGAAAAAAAAATTATCTGAAATAAAACGCACTGGTCAACGCCTTATTCTAAATATTAGGTTCAACCGCGATTTATTTGTAGCCTTTTCCTCGTAAATAACGCAAAGGTTTTTTGTTTCTTTTTTTATTTGCAACAAACGAGTTGCATGCACGCAGCTCCGCATGCTGGTCGGGCTTTCAGGGTGTCCTCGCACCACGGGTTGTTCGCCGCAGATCTAGGCGAGCTAGATTTTGTTTGCCCGGCGTCCACGACTGCCGGCAGGGGCCAACGACCGGCGCGGGGCACGAGGACGCCCCTTAACGCAGCGTAGCTCGCCGAATCTTCGTAGGTTCACATACCTGTGCATCTGATGCAGAAAGTACACTTCTCTTTTTGTGACTTTATCAAACGATAACTGAACAAACTAACAAACAATAAAATTAGTCCTTAGTTGTTTTTACAGCAGGAGTTTAGTCTGCCAGGACATGGCGACATTCATACCCACTGTAGATAAGCAATTTAGCCAGTGCAGTAGAACCGCTAGCCTGGAGTCTTTACCGTGCACAACGCAGTATGATACGCGACAGCACACCGGGGGCGATTGGTGGCCGAGTGGTCTAGCGCACAACAGCTCGGAGCACGTGGAGCGAAAGCTGGCGCTGCAGAACCCAGAGATCCTGGCAATCCCCGCCCCTGCCCGTTTCGATCTGGATCAGCATCGTGCCCGCGAGCGGTCGTGTATCACTACTCCGTGGAGCACGTTAAAAATCTCAGGCTAGCGGTTCTACTGCACAGTCTAAACTGCTCATCTATATACAGCGAGTGAGCCGTCGCAACTTTGAAATGGCTGACCATCTACACGCTGTATAAATATTCACACAGCTCCAATTATTTTACCGCACGCCGGTACGATGCTCATCCAGATCAAAACGGGCAGGGGTGGGGATTTAAATTGGCGATGCAACAATTTTTGTACTTTGCGCAAATACCGCTTAAAACGGATCCCTGACGTTAATGAACTATGAAACACGCGTTCGTTTCTCACCCCACGCAATAGAAGATCCAGAAAAAAAATTAAAGAAAAACGAGCACCGGTCACCCCCTCAACTTGCAGCCAGAACAAGTGGCCACGTGATCTGGAGCCGATTGTATGCCGCCAATGCTGATCATAGCCAAGCGCTGGGGTTGGCAAAGCACAGGGCACGCGCTGAGTTCCAGACATTCTTATGGCTCGGCTATTGTCGTCGTTGCAGCGATTGGACACGGGCCACTACCCGAATGCATGTCGAGGCATCGATTGTCAAGAGCCCAGATCGAATGCGTACGCAGTCTTCGCGTCCACTGTGTGAGCACCATTTGAATATCGTCACCGCAAAGCTCGATGACG